TAGAAAGCAAATAGCATGGGAGAGGTGCCAGGATCGGCAAAACTTCTTAGGAGGAGAAAAGAAAAGATAGATTCCAGGAAATGCAGGGGAGCAGACTTGACATTGAACCCAGGGAAGTCGTGGGAAGAATGAAAAATCTTCCTGGGATCCTCAAGGTGCTTGCAAAGGTTAGGTAGGTTTTCTGTGGGGTCTGCCGTGGGACCGCTGTGTAGAGGTGGGGCGTTCTTAGGACTGGGCTGAACAGGTGGCTTGTGTCATCTGACCAGCTTAGGGATGTCAGGCCAGATGTGGGGGCCAGAAAATGGAATCAAAGCCACAGAGTTTGCAACCTGTGGGGAGGAGCTGAGCAGTCTTTGGCAACAGAGCTTTCGATGTCAAGAGCTCCAAGAGATGGACAAGGGTAAAGATAAGTTCATGAGCTAGTTTCCTCATTGATTTAACAAACTCTCCCTGAGCAGGAGTCAGATGTCAGGCACTGCTCTAAACCCTGGAGTTCTGTGCTGAACAAGATATAGTCCCTGCCCTCAGGGAGGTTATGTTGTTGTGGGGAGTAAAGACAAAAAGATGCTATGGATGGTGGTTAATACCATGAAGAAAATATGCAGATTGGTGGGTCAGAGAGTGCCTACTAAGGGGAGGACACTTTAAAAATGGGCAGAAAAGGCTACTTTGCGAGTAGGAAACATGAGCTGAGGCCTAAATGATGAGAAGAAGCAGTGAAGGGATGATCTAGCATTTCATAGGAAATGCAAAGGCCCTGGGGCTGGAATGAACTTGGCATGCCAAGTAATATTTTTAAGGCCAGAAGGGCTTGGATGAAGGAGTCAAAGCAGGAGCAGGTGACTGGGCCACTTAGTATCTGCCCTGAAGGTCAGGAAGGAGTTTAAATTTCATCCTATAAGTAATGAGATTCCACATGAGGGTTTAAGCAGAGAGATGGATTGATCTGAGTTCTAAGAACATCCTAACACTGCAGGCAGGCAGTTTTCTAGAACAAACAAGAACAAACGAATCTTGTTTTCTTGGGGGTTGGAGAGAAGGCAGGTAGGGACATCCTTGATCAGGGACTTGTAACTGTGTGATGAATCTTGATTGCAGAGAGGTGTTTGATAAAGGCTGTCTTGGAGAAGAAGAGATTGGATGATAGTGACTGGATTGATTTATTCCCCCAAAGTGTTGATCCAGGATTACTGTCAGGCTGTGGGGAGGGTCTCTGGCACTGTCTCCAAGGCTCAGCCCTGGACTCATTCCCTTCAACATTTCTATCCGTAAATTGGCTCATCAGACATGCAGCTGACATGAACCTGTCAGGGACAGCTAATGCCACGGATGACAGACTCAGGACTCACCATGATGATCCTCCCCAGGCTGGAGTGATGGAATGAAACCAGCAATAGACCTGATGGCACTCTGATTGGGGAACAGAGCTCAGCTATGAAACAGGGAGTCCTTGCTGGATAGCTATCCCTGGAAAGGAAGCTGGATGGGGTAAGGGGAGGTCGTGAAGGCGGCTGAACCCACCCACATTCCCACACTTTCTAGGTGACAAGGTCCTTGGCCTCGACCAGGCTCATTTTTCCCCATCAGTAAAATGGAGATGATGCTATCTCTTGCTCATGAGTGTGAAGAAGATTAAATTCAAACATGTATAAGAATGCATGGCTTCCTCTCTGGCCTGTAGTGGATTTGTGACAGAAGCAAGGGAAGTAGGAGTTTGTGGAGACTGGCTCAAGGGAGAGCTGGGAGGTTGGCGGCAGCATTTCAGGGGTGTATGGACGGCCCACAGCCAGAGTGGACCCTGTATCCTTGGCACTGCGCTGCCCCTGCTGGGAATGCCAACTTCCTAAGGGGCCCCTGATTGCTGTAATGTGCCAGAGGAGTAAGAACAGGTGTTCATGAGATGCCCTTCAACAGAACAATGGATAAAGAGGATGTGGTCCATATATACAATGGAATATGACTCAGCCATCAGAAAGGATGAATACCCACCATTTGCATCAACAAGGATAGAACTGGAGGGGATTATGCTGAGTGAAGTAAGTCAAGCAGAGGAAGACAATTATCATATTGTTTCATTCATATGTGGAACATAAAGAATAGAGCAGAGAACCATAGGGGAAGGGAGGGAAAACTGAGTGGAAAGAAATCAGAGAGGGAGACAAACCATGAGAGACTCTGGGCTCTGGGAAACAAACTGAGGGTTACAGAAGGGAGGGAGCTGGGGAATGGGTATTAAGGAGGGCACGTGAGGGGTATTAAGGAGGGCATGTGTTGGGATGAGTACTGGGTGTTACAGGCAACTAATGAATCGTTGAATGCTACAACAAGAACTTACGACGTACTCTATGTTGGCTAACTGAACAGAATGGAAAGAAAAAAAAAAAAGAACAGGGGTTCATCCTCAGCATCTGCCTGTGTCCCAGGTTGGGAAGGGACACAAGGGTCCTCTTGAGTGCTGAGAAGGGACGGTCTATGGGTGGTTTTTGATACAGGGACCCCAGGGTCCTGAGGGTCTTTTAGAATCTGCTTTGACTTCTCCTGGAGTTGGTACTTGAGAGGATTCAAGCGGTGAGACTTTTTCTGTGTGCATCTATTGTGCAACATTTTTATTAAAAAAAAAAAAATCCGCCAAAAGCAGAGCCAATAGTACATGATGAACCCATGTACTGATCAATCACACAGTTTTAGTGATGGTCAACCCATGGCCACCTTGTTTCATCTATGTCCCCCTCTTCCCTCTACCCTGCTAGATTAAGTTTAAAGCAAATCTTAGACATAATTTTATCTACCTCTAAGAGATAAGGACTCATTTTTTTGTTAAGTATAAACCACAATACTGTTATCACAATGTTTTAAAATTGACATAATTGTAGTAGGTTTTCCTAAAAAAAAAGAAAAAATCTATTGGTGTATAGCTTGCTTTGCAAGTTTTTTTTTTTTTTTCAAATGTCTGGTTTCTGTAACTCGAGATTCACCTGTTCCCTTTGAGGATGATGATGAAGAGGAAGAAGGGGGGGTCTCTTTATTCTGATTGTTCGCAGGGACATAGCCATGAGAGTGGGTTCTATTTATAGCCGAAGTCTAGACATGGGACAGAGGAAAGGAAGGGAATGGGAGAGGGCAGCGGGGAGGGGGAAGGGGAGAGAATGGAAGGAATGAGAGAACCAGAGTGGAAGACAGCCCCGTGTCCCTGCAGCAATGCCACCTTCGGGAGCTCCCAGAGGACGCGTGCCAAGCTCAAACCCGGGTTGCCTCCCCAGGTTCTCACCCTATCATCACAACCTTGGTTCAGGTGTCATGCCCAGGCTACAGAGGAGGCCCTGAGGTTCCAGGGTCTGACATGAAATAGGCATTAGTGCCTGATGGAGACCCAGGTCTGCTTGGCTGGAATCTGCTTTCTCCTGGCCCGTCTCTGCTTCTAAGTCTGCCGAGGCCACCTGCGGGGCTGGTGGTCAGTTGGTTAAGTGGAGACATGCTCTTGACTGTGTTTCCTGAGGGCTCTGGCCACCCAGCTCCTTTCCCAGGACCCTCTGGACCTCACGAGGACCCAGCAACTAAGGGGGTAATGCCTGGCGCAGCTGGGAGAACCTGGGACTGTCTGCTGTGCCTGTTCTGTTGTCAAGTACAGTGACTTTTTCCCTGGCTCCACGTGTGCTCACGTGGGAGTCGTTTTGCACCGGTGCATGTGTGCGCTCATCAAACACATCCACAAGTGTGCGCATCTGTTCTTTTGCACGGGCGAGGCATGTGCTCACACACGAAGAGCATTACGAAGAAGGCACATCCCGGCCAGCAGGATTCATGGTCCCTGCTCGAGGGACTCACTGAGCCCTGGGGAAGAACCGTCAGGGTAGGGGTGTGCTCCTGGCCTCCCCAACGGCTAAGCTCCCCTCGTGGGCACTTTCATCTTCCCCCTGCCCCTTCCTCATTGCCTTCACCACCCTCCCCCAGGGGCACTGAGTGGTTTCCAGAATGCTCTTTGTAGACCAACTCAGCCACTTTTTCTGGAAGCCCATCACATATGGAAAGCAGATGGTTTTAAGCTAGGTTGCCATGGTCCTTCTGACCATGTCAGGGAGGAAGGTGCCCCCTGGCCAAAAACGCCAGGCCGGCATGATTGACATCCTCTCCCCCATCTGGAAAGAGCGAGCAAGCAAGTGCCTAGAGTCCCTGAGCCCCATCGGGCCCATCAGGCTGTTGTTGACCGTCAGGGGTCAAGCTGGGGCCCAGTGTTGGAGGTGTGGGTAGAGGTCGGTGTGGGAGTTCAGGGAGATGCCTGTGAATCCGTGCGGGGACCAAGCGACTCCTGGGATCCCAAGAGGTGACGCTTAGTCCAGATGCCGTGATCTGGTCAGAGGGCCGTGCCAGCCTGTGGGGAGCCACAGGTCTCCACCCACAGGGACCACAGTGCGGTCTCCAGGATCCAACCAGGCTGACACATCTTGGGTCAGCCTCACCCTATGCCAAAGTGCTTTGCCATCTCTGATATTCTTGTTGACCAGATGAGGAGACAGGGCATGGAGATGCTGAGCGACCTGCCCAGGGTCATAGCGGGAAAATGAGGGAGCCAGGGCACTGGTCCAGCCCTCTACTCCCAGGGCTCAGCCCCAGCACTCTGGCCTCTGTACTCAGGGCTGTTGACTCATTCCCAACCCCAACGTGGCTGGTCTTTCATTGCTTCAGGTCCCAGGCACAACTGAACAGGGAGGGAGGGACTGAAATTGAGGCTCAGGTTACTCAGCAAGACAGAGCATCTGGAGAGGACCCTGATGTCCCGATTCCCAGAACTGTGCTCTTGGTGCCGGGCCTGCTGGGGGCCTAGAAACATCTTGGGAATCTGCTGTTTGTGCATTTTCCCTCTTGAGAAAGCCGTGGGTTTCTCTTACCTGGAGATGTGTTCTCTCTGCCCCCTTTCCCTGCGGCCTGGGGCCTGCTACAGGGACCCCCCCAACCCCTGAATGAGCTGACACTAAAGCAACCTCTTTCTGACCTGTTTGCAGAGCTCTGGAGCTCAGCCGTGACAAAGATGAGATCTCCCTGTTGGTGGAGCAGGAATTCTTGAGCCTGACCAAAGAGCACCTCATCTTAGTCACAGAGACCTCTGGGGAGCTGGAAGTACCCAGCACTTCCCCTGAGGGGCCCAGACAGCCGGCTCCCTGCCTTCTTGCACCTCCTCCACTGGCAGACAGCAGTGAGTACCCAGGAGCCGCCATCCTTGCCGCCGACACCCTTCTGGATCCGAAGGTGGCCATGTCTGTGATCAGCAGCCGGCAGGACTGCGATTCTGTCATGTCTACAGTCACGGGCATTCTGCGTGCTGCCAAGGTCAAGAGTGTTAAGGGGACAGAAGACGGGGGCCACATCCTGGGCGCCTCCAACTCGGAAATCAACAAGCTCCTGGCGCAGTTCCCCCTGAGGTCCACAGAGGCAGCTAAGGCTCCTGACAACAAGGTGGTGCTGGAGGAGACCAGGGCCATCAAAGACTTCCTGCAGAACAGCATGTTCCGTGGCCCGGGACCCAGGGAACCCACAGGGCTGGGCCCCTTCCTCCTGCTGCCGCCCCCGCCTCCCGCACCCCCTGACAAGCTTTCTGAGCTCCCTGCTCAGAAGAGGCAGCTCCCGGTGTTTGCCAAGATCTGCTCCAAGCCCGAGGCTGAGTCCACCATGGAGGGGCACCTCTTAATGGGTGAGTGTGGCTGGGGGCCGGGCTAGTGAGCGGGCCTGCAGGGAGGAACCTGCTGGAGAGCCCGTTAGGGCTGCAGCAGGTGCACACAGCATCTTTGAACAGAGTTAGACACAGTGACCTCTCTGATGCACACAGTCCCCAAGTGCAAGCGGTTTTCAGCACCCACAGGCCCCCTCTGCTGGATGCCCATGTATGGGGACACGGCTTGTGGAAGCAAACACAGTGGTCTTGATCCCAACACACTTTGAGAGGAGATAGAGGCACATGTGGTAACTGGCTCGTTTTTTGAATCCAGGCATGCAGAATACATTGATGGAGGCGTTTACCCCAGCTGAAACTGCAGCATAGGGACTTTAAGATGGATAGGAGGGAAGTGTGATTAGCAGCTGGGGTCATCTGGCTTCCGATGGAGGCACCTGTTCTGACCAAGAGGACTGGTCTTCACTCTGGGGCCAGGATGGGGGGAGGCGTGCAAATTCTCCATGTGCCATTCAGACTGCCCCGAACTTGTTCTCTGGGACTCCTGAACCCTAGAACAGTGTCTTTCCATCTGCTAACTGAGGAGTCCACACCCTTTCCTGAAAGCCCAGCCACCTTCCAAGTTCCCCCCACTCCACCTCCAGGTTCTGCATGTTGTGATCCAGCCACTCAGACTGAATGGTTCCAAGGCAGACTGATGGCAGAGGCATTTGCTTACAGTCAGCAGTCTTTAGGAGAGTTGATCATACGTCAACCAAAAGAAAAATCACCCCCAGGCTGTAAGCATGGATTGATAACTGAGATGCTGTGTTGGGAGGGCCCGAATCCATCTCCTTAAGAGAAGTGGTGCATGTTCTGTGTTATGGAACATCTGGGAAGGCCGAGGAATCAGAGCTGGGGACAGCAAGCTGGACTCTGGGTCCTGGGAAGGCCCCTGGGACGCAGAGGGCTTTTTGCGAGTTCTGCGTGTGACAGTTGAGCCCTGCCCAGAGTGTGAGACCTTCCCACTACCTCCTTCTCCAGGAAGGACACCTGGGTAGCTCTCTGTGGGATGGGGCTGCTGGCTTGGAGGTCGTCCTGTCCCACCCACCCTCCCCACTGTGTGTGTGTGTGTGTGTGTGTGTGTGTGTATCTATGTATAGATATGTGGGCAAAGGTGTGCCAAAGGACGTTTTATAGATGTGTGTGTGTTAGAGAAAAGGTGTGTGTGGGGGCATCTGAGTGTGTCTCGTGTGTATATCTCTGTGTATCCATCTTATATGCATCGTTGTGCACACGTAAGTGAGGCAGAGGAACAACAGGCAAGAATGTGTGTGTGTCTGTCTTCTGTCTGCCTGTGTACACAGACGTTGAAAGAGGGAGTTTGGAGCTGAGTGAGTGGCAGGCCCGTTCAAGGCAACGGGAGGTGTGTGAGAGATGGCAGGTGTGTGGGTCTCTGGGGAAAAGGCTATTATTAGTGGGTACTGTTATTTCAGCACACTGGCTGGGGGCTAAACTTGGCAACCAGAGAAACTCTTGGAAGAGACTCCAGGGACATGTTTTGCTAAAAATGTCATTTTCTTCTAAATTGGCTCAGGCTAGAGCACTCTTTCCTTCTCTGGGATGGTACTAGGAGGGCAGGCCCGGTCCTATCCAGACTTAGCCACAAGACCACTGGCCTGGAGTGGGGGCACGAGCTGGAGGGATCCAATCCATTTCCAACAGGTGACACTGGGCACTGGTCCTCTGATCCAGCCATGCCGGGAACAATCTGAGGTCCTTGCTGGGTGTCCGGCGCTCTTTCCCAGCCAAGCTCCATGGAGACCTGCAAAGCCTCCAGGCTGGGAAAGGAGTGGAGAGCACTACTTCAGCCAGACATTGCCTTAAAAACAAACAAACCCACATAAATACAATTTCGCCCATAGTTAATTTTGATTGAAGAATGAGTCCTTTTGCTCGAAAGGAAATCTAGGTGAAAAAATCACTGCTGTGGAGGGTCCTGGGATGGTCCAGGCAGCATCCCACACCAGGGGACCGCTCTGTCTGTTTGCAGAGGGACCCGGGCCTGGCCCCAACGGCACGCACTGTGTGGACATGCACTTGCTGTCTCTCTGATGCCCGCCCCTGCCATGCCATCTCCCTGTACTCCTGGACAGAAGGCCTCCTGGAAGGCCCACTTCCTTCTGGAAACCCTCTGACCCTCACTGAGAGAAGCCGTCTCAGCCACCCTCTTCTCCCACTGTGTCCCTCTGTCACCTCACAGTTCCCATCTGCCTTGTCCTGGAGCTATTTCTGGGTCTCTCTCTCTCCCTCCTTGTTGTGAGCTCCTGCAGGCCTGAGTCTGGCTCTGACTCATCGGTGTCCTCAGTACTCAGGTCAGGGCCTGGTGCTGACAAACGGGCTGGATCACCCGTGAGCACCAAAGCAGGAGTAGAGTCCACGGTGAGGGGCCGGACCTCAGCTAGGCCACGTGTTCTACAGAAGCTGCGCGTCTTCCCCACGGAGCCAGGCGGCGGGGCTGAAGGCAGCTCCGTATCCCAAGCTTGACACTGTGAATGAATAGAGGGAACGGAGAAACAAAAGAGGGAGAGAAGAAAGAAAAAAAGTAGAAAGGAGAGAAAGCAGAGAAAAGGGGAGGGAGGAGAGAAAGAGAGAGAAGAAAAGAAAGGTAATTGGAAGGACGGAAGTTTGGATGGAAGGAAGAGAGGATGGATGGACGGACGGATCCACGTTTGCACGCATGAGAGGGGGAGGCTGTGATGGGCAGTGGTCCATGAAGGCTTCAGGGAGGAGACTAGGACGGGCTTGGGCTGGAAGGGAGACCCCAGAGCAGTTTGAGCCACAGGTGGGTGATAGGGAGGACCTGTCACTTTGTCCACAAGAAAGTGCTCCCTGCATCCAGCCCATGGCCTCCCAGACCCATTGACTCAGTTTCCCCTTCCCTGCCATAGAATGGAAATCTGGCATCAAGGAGCCGACCAAGGGTCGAGAGAGCCTCTTTCTCAGTCAGTGGCCTCAGAGCCGGAAGGACACCTGCGGTGAAGAGGGGTGCAGTGACCCAGTGGGCTCCGTGACCACGGCCCTACCAGCCAAGAAGCCTGCGTGGCCAGCTGAGAAGAACCTGCTCTATGAGTTTCTTGGGGCCACCAAAAACCCAAGCATGCAGCTAAAGCTTCGCAGCAAAGTGGAGGTGGACGGGCTGGAGTTGAAACGTAAGCTGGCCCTGCAGGGGGAGGGGCTGGAGAGGAAGGGGATTCCAGACAGTCTTTTTTTTTTTTTTTAAAGATTTTATGTATTTACTTGACAGACAGAGATCGCAAGTTGGCAGAGAGGCAGGCAGAGAGAGAGGGGGAAGCAGACTCTCTGCTGAACAGAGAGCCCGGTGCGGGGCTCGATCCCAGGACCCTGGGATCATGACCTGAGCCGAAGGCAGAGGCTTTAACCACTGAGCCACCCCGGCGCCCCTTCCAGACACTCTCATAGCCTTGTGACGGCTCCATCACCAAATGGCTGCCTCATCCAAGGGCCAGTCACTGGCTTTCTCTGGGCGTCTGTTTTTAAACTCATAGAATGGGGGAGTGACTCTCTCCCATGTCCCTTATCAGGACTACCACTGCTAGAGGAATGCAGGTGAATTTCAGGGTCCCAAGGGGTCCACGAGGGGTCAGTTTGAATACAGCCCTGAGCCCGCGTACCTCTATGCCCTCAAGTTGTTCAAGCCAAGGAAAAATCCATGCTTCAGATGATTCCTACACTGAGGTTATCCATGTCCCTCCTTTCTCTCCCTACATCTGTCTCTGTCAAACCTCCTTTCCCCCAAAAGATGTTAAGGGGAGGTTGAGGCCCCATCTTTGACTCTAGAAGCCCACAGAACAGAGTGAGAGAATCAAGGATTCGTATCCTAGAACAACCCAACCAGATCTCATCCATTCAGACTAATTTGGGGTCATACCGTGTCAGTTATATATAACCTGGGTAAGGTCCTCAGTGTGGCCAAGTGTATGTCCTCAGGGGGCTGCTTTAATAATTTGGTTAGTATGAATTCCAATGGCACAGCAATTGTTGGTATAAAACTGGATTTTTGTAAAGCACTGAGAAGCATTTGGTTTTCTACATGGGTGAACTACAGCCCTAGCAACCTGGTGTATTGTTTTCTCTTGCTAAACCACCTCCTTTACTAGGGAATGGTGGAGAAAGAACTCTAAGCCAGACCATGCTGGGATTCGCACCTCTTCCAAATTGGCCAGGTGTGTGCGAACGATGTTTTCCCGTAGTTGGAAAGTCCCCCACACTTTGAGGAACTCTCTTGGAGCTTAAAGGACCTGACATCTGAGAATATGAACCCCGAGGTGGCCCTGGTGCTGCGGGTGTGTTGGCCTCCTCTTTCTGCAGTCCCTGAGACACTCTCCTTCTCCTGTGACTCACAGTTAACCCACCTGTGACGGTGGCCGACAAGAGCAACCTCAAGTACACAGGGAATGTTTTCACCCCACGCTTTGCTACAGCCTTGACCTCAGCCACCCTGAACCAGCCACTCTGGCTCAACCTGAACTACCCGCCTCCTCCTGTGTTCACAAATCACTCTACCTTCCCGCAGTATCAGGTGAGTATCAGGTGAGTGAGAGGGTCCCTCACCTCTGCTTTGCTAGTGTTGGCCTGTGAAGTGCTTGGGCTCCCAGCATGGGATGAGGGCATAGTCCTTGTTGCCCACCCACCTGCTGTGACTTCCTTTAGAGTTGGATGACATGTGTCCTAGAGTACTTGGGACAGTCCCGGCTTTGGTCTTTTATCCCAACATAATTATTCTAAGCACCCCCTTTTCACTCCCAAGTGTTCTGGGGTGGATGCCAATCTATATGACCACCTTATTTAAAGGACATCTGAATAGTCTTAGCTTGTACCAGCTCCCGTGGCCTGGCACGCATTCACGGTCTGGGGCTCCTAGCCTAAAGGGAGTTCGTGACCAGACACAAAGGGACGGTGAAACACAAGGAGCAGGGCTTCTGGAAATTTTACTCATGGAACTTATTTATGCAGGAAAATGTAGTTTCTTTAGTCTGTCTATTAAGTCAATCTCCCTTAAGAGCTGCCGCCCACTGGACAGAAGGAGGAAAAAAAATCAAATCAATGTCCACTCAGGTTTAAACCTTAGTTCAATTCAGCAGCTTCAACAGTCCCTTTAGGTTGTGCTCAGTTTCTCCAGGAAAGGTGCTCAGCATCCAAGATTTCTTGGTCTACTGGCCTCTGCCCCAGCCTCTCCAGAATGGCACGTAGGTGTATGGGCAGGATACACCAACTTGTACACCCAGGTCCTTGGGGGCCTGCTGCCCTGGGCTGGCCCAGGAAAGCATGGAGAGGGCACACAGAGAAGGCAATACACCTGCAAATTATCTCACCCAGTCTCTGTGTCCCTTCCGCTCCCACGACTCCTTGGTTCCCTGTGTCATCTCCTTTACAACAGAGCGGCAAGCCTTGGGCTTAGGTGTCCCCTGTGCAGAAGGCAGATCTTCTCTACCCCACATAGAGCCTCTCTGAGCTGGACCACCAGACTCAGCCCCAGAAGCTTAAACAGAAGCTCACAGAGTTCAGCGAAGTGTCTGTCTTTCTCTCTGATGTTTTGTTTTCAAGCCTTTTTGTTTGTTTGTTTATTTGCTAAAGAGGACAAGTGCCCACCCCCTCCCCCTGCAGGATGGAGAGCCTCGAGTTGGGGCTGCCATGAAGCATGATGGAGGGGGAGGCTAGCGTGAGTCAGTCCCGTATCTGTCTTGTCCTTTCTTAGGTCTTGAGAGAACTGCCCTGTTCGCGCCCTCATCTGTCCCCAGACCTCTTCTCCAGTGCTCCCCATCCTGGCGTTTCTGTGTTTGCTCCTTCACTCTTCAGTCCTTTACTTACCTACTGAGCGACCTGTTCCTTTTTATTTATGTTTACTCGTTCATTGAAGTAATTTAAAAGCCTTGGCTCCACTCTAACCACCGGCTGGGCATCGGCCAGGCGAGGGCGTTCACAGATGACTGCGATGCCCAGAGTCCAGCACAGGTCAGGCACAAGCTGCAGACCAGCACTATGACTTCCCCCCCAACCCAGGAAGAGAAGCAACCGCATCATTTTATACATTGTAAACCGATTTGCTCTAAGTGCACTCAGGGCTCAGCGTATAAAGCAGGTGCACGCTGGCTCACGTTATAAAGAGTGGCTAAGAGCTTCTTGCTATGTCCATTGTCTCTGGCTTGGCTTTTTGGAGGGAGTGAGATTCGAACGTATTATCTGAGCATGAAGGTCCTTTGTTTTCAGAGATGCCAGTGTTTGCAGCGCACAGCTGCCTCTAAGGCTTCCTGGCCTCTGCTGGAGAAACTGACCTTCCCAGGTAGCAAGGGAGAACAGGGTCATTTACCTTCTCACAGCTTCTCAGGATTTCATAATGCTGTCCAGCTTCAAGACGGCTCATCAAGGGGCCTGACATAATAAAAAGAAGGCAGGTTCTGGAACTGGAAGACTTGGTGTTTAAAGAAATCTGCTGCTTTCAAGCTGGGTGGCTCTGGGCAAGCTCAAGTTAGCTAAATGCTCTGAGCCCTGGTCTCCTCACTTGTGAAATGGGCTCGTAGCAATTAGCAGCAGCGACGGTGGCGGTGGCATGGACTCAGTTGTAAGGTTAATTGAGTCCACGGGTGAGAAAGGGCTTTGAAAAGTCTAAAGTATGATACAGATGTTGGTTTTTATTATTATTCAGCCCTGATTTTCCTAGGAAACAGGGTCAGGGAGCTCCACAGACCTTGAGGAGACAGAGAGGAGAAACAGGGAACGGTCTATCCTCGTCTCTTCTCCTGCGTGGCGTTAGGAATAAAGATGAGGTCCCAAATCCAATTTACTCAGAGCTCCACTGTGGAGCGATGCAGAGCCATGGAAGACTTAGTCCGCAGCACCAAGGATCTCTGGAGGCTCCTAGGCTGCTTCTTGGCATAAAGGAACTCTGTTCCCAGTTAAGGAGGGAAGGTAGAAAGGGGCTGTGACCTCAAGCAAAGAAGAATGAATGTTTATTTACCCTTGCTTGTGATTTTACATAATTGCATAATTGCAATTTGAACAACTAGAAATGTCCTGAAGGTCAGAGAGTGTGCCGCTCGTACTGATGCATGTGGTCCTGACTCCTGCAAACCCATCCAGGATGGAGCAGGGATGGGCGGCTCTTTGTCTTGCATGGGCCCTGGGAGCAGCCCAGCCCAGGTGTGGGGAGGACGGAGGCCCTGGGAGTTGGCTATGCACGCAGAGCCCAGGCTGACCAGGAGGGAGGTGGGCACGCGGAACCTGGTCTCGGAGCTCGCCGTGCACCAGAACAGCTGCAGGGAACCTGCCTGTCTGACTGACTGTTCAGGTTTAGGCCCTGGCAGGGGGCGCAGAGACCAGGCTGTGGTCATGGTGGTGAGCAGGGTTGCCCTGGGGCCGCAGGGCTTGCAGATAAGGGGAGCTGGTGCTCTGGCCGCAGGTAAAGGGGCTGGTGGCAGTGGGAGCAGCCCGACCACGGCCTGTGTCAGTCACCTGGGAGCAGAGAGCCAGGGCAGGCTCTGGAGGTTGTGTACACTCGGGGACCTGGACGATGGGCCCCATGTCAGCCCATGGGTGCTGAAGAAGTCATCAAGGGCACGGTGTTGGCCATCAACACTTTGATAATTGGCACAAGCTGGCCCAGAATGGGGGCACCATCTCGGGGTTTGGAATATTCTGGAAAGACATACTGGCCTGAAGGCTGCTTTGAGCTGCATCTTAGGAGGTAACTCTGAATTGTCAGGTAGAGGCAATCTGAGCCTGGAGGGACTATGTTCTGACCCCACCCACTGTAGCCAACTCTGTGTGTGTGTGTGTGTGTACACATGGGCGCCCAGGGCCGCCCCAGATGGAGTTCTGAATAAAGGTTCTACTTCCCATTCGGCTGAACTGGCCCGACCGCCTCTTCAAGGTGGGGAGCAGTGAGCGATGCTGAAAATACCAAACATTCACAGAACCCTTGCTATGCGCTGGGCATGGTTCTAAGCCGTTGGAGGCACTAACTCATTTATCTCCCTGCTGGTCCTCGCCATAAGGAGCAGACACGGGTGAATGTGTGGGTGTGCAGACACACAGCTGCAGAGACCCAGCCTAATACTCCCGAAACACACAGCGGCGGACACGAGTGGAAGCACCCGTGTCGATGTGCTGAAACAAACATGGAGGCAAACCAGCACACGCACACACGCAGAGGCTCATCGATGCCTCATGTCTTGGGGCAGGACTGCAGTCTGGGGAAAGGCACTTAGAAAAAGTGTATAGATAACAACAGAGATAATTTGGCTACCTTCACAGGCTCTACCTGTTTGAATACATGTAATTTTATGGACAAGCGAAAAGAGGCTCAGAGAAGCGAAGTGACTTTCCCAAGCTCACACAGCCACCAAGGGGGCGGATCTGGGATTCAAGAGACCGTCAGATCCCTCTCCCCTTAAACACTCCCCTGAAAGGCTATGAAGCCTGCTCAGCAGGGGCTTCCTGTGTGGTGTGAGCTATGCCTGCTCAGTCTGGTGGCTGGGCAGACGATGGAGGGGTCTGGCTAGCAGTGCGGTGGGATGGACTCGAGCAGGCTGGCAATCCAGGCATTGTGAGCGGGAAGCTGGGCCAAGTGGCTGCTGCTCTCTGGTGGGGAGCCCTTTGCCCCCACTGCGCTGAGCCTCCCCCTTCTCCCCGCAGGGCCTATACCCTCAGCGAGCAGCCAGGATGCCCTATCAGCAGGCCCTGCATCCCCAAATGGGCTGTTACTCCCGACAGGTGAGTACACAACCTCCTCATCTCTGTTCCAGTGCCATGAAGGCCTTCAGGTCAGAAGGACATCTGTTTCCTCGTCTTGGTCCAGCAGGTCACTAGCCAGATTTTCTGGCCCGCCCTTGGCCCCAGAGAATAGACACGAAGGCCGGCATGCACTTGGAATCAAACCTGTGTCCCTAGGTGCTAGATGCTGGTACTTCCATGACCCTCACTGCATCCCAGACCTTCTCCAAGGGCTTTATCTGCATAAACTTCACAGCCACCCTGTGGAATAGGTTAGAGATGAAGAAACTGAGGCACAGAGAGGTTAAGTAATGTGTGCAAGGTCATAAAGTTAACATACTAGTTAGCTTTTGCTGTGGCGACAGCCCCAATATCCCAGAGACTTTCAACAATAAATACTTATTTTTCCTTCACAGGTCTGTGGGTTGGTTGAGCTGGGCTGGGATTGGGTTCAAGCCCATTTCACGGGTCTCCTTTTGGGGACCATGCTGAAGATAGAGTAGCTTTTGCTCCTGTCTCGGGTGGGCGACAGGAGAGCGGGAGAGGTGAGCAGCAACCCCCACTGCTTCTGGGAGCATCAGCTTGGAGCTAGCACATGGCAGCGTGCACCTGCCTTCTGCTGGCCAAAGAAAACCACATGGTTTTGCCCAGCATTGGTGGGGCCGAGGACTCCTCTCCCTCTGGGTCAGTTTGTTAGTTAAAATAGAAGACATCCAGTTAAATGGTGAATAAAGTTTTGGTATAAGGAAGCCTCCAATATTGTATGGGTCCTTGTTATATGAAAAAAATGATTTGCTGTTTATCTGAAATTCACACCTAACTGGGTGTCTTTTTTGTTTGTTTGTTTGCTAAATCTGGCACCCCCCACTTCCACGGGTAAGCCGGGAGAGGATATCCACTTGAAAATTACATGAGGACAGAATCGGGGTCTGACCTCGGGCAGCCTAACTTCAGAGTCCATGCTGTCAACGACCATGGCTTGTTGCCTCTTGGACACACATACACAAAAACACAGAATCAGAATAAAGCTGCAGAGACAGACACACACAGATAGAGAGACACGAAGGAAGACATAGGTCTATGCCTGCCGCTAAGCGGCACACACGTGTATTCAGAGATAGTGAAAGTCTTGGGGCAGATATGGGGGTGTGAGGGGGGAAGCTGACACTGCACTGCGTCTCCAGGCCAGTCTTGCCCCCGCTCACACACAGGTGGACAGAAACCACGCTCAGACTCACACCCCTACGCCTCTTTTCTCCCCTCAGGGAGCAAACTGTACCTCTGACCTGAAGTATGTTGGAATGTTCCAGAGGGTAGAGAAGAGCCCACAGGTACAGGTTACTTTATTAAGTGAGCCAGAGCTACTTTTCTAACAGTAGGCGCTGTGTGGCGTCAAGAAAAATAGAGACGAGAGACAGCCTGGCTCCCAGGTTCTCCCCAGTTACCCCCATTCCACAAACAACAATACATCCCCCTAGCTCCAGAGGGAGCATGTTGAGACAACCTTACATTTGTGTGTGTATCTGAAAAAGTAATATAAGAACATGGTACAAGGTTAAAAAATAAAAAAAAAAGTCTCAGAGGCAGCTGCTGTTGCTGGTTCCTTCAGGACCCTTCCAGGGACATCTCTTTACACCAACCTTTTGTACAGATGTGGCTTTCTGGGCACACTGTTCTGTCATTGCTTTTGCCAGCAAAGTATATCCCGGACATGGTTCCAGAGGGGCATTTTTTATGGTGTTTACCAGTTCCACGGAGTTAAGGACACATCCCTCCAGAAGGCTTGTGTGAGCTCCAGGACCTTCTTCTCTTTCTTGTTAATCCCCTCCCAGGCCCGGACCTCTGCCAGCCCCCCATTTTCTGCCATTTCTGCGTCTGTCTTGGGAGGTGCCTTCCTGGGTTCTCTCTGTGAGGTCTTGGCTCTTTCGGACCTTTAGCTCATCATCTTGGGGTTTGGGGGCCCACATCCAGCATCACCAGGTCCTATCTGTCCCCCGGGGGAGACATGAGGAGGGCCCAGAGGGAGGGGCTTGGGCTTTTGAAAGGAACAGGTGTTGAGGTGCGGTTCAGGGCACGGGTACCAGTCTCATGCCTTGGGGGTTCCGACCGCAACTCAGACACTTGGAGCACACACTATGCAAGGTCAACTTACTTAGATAAGGACATGCAGGGTGAGAGAAGGCTGTCAGTGTGCTGAATGCCTCAGCAGCTTGGACCCCAGACTCTGGCTTTTAAAGAGGAATCTCAGAAGTTTCCCTTCAGCATCCAGGAGGATGGATGTCGGCTCCATACACGAGAGGGTTTTCTGACATTTGGAGCTGTCAGGAGTAGAATACAGTGCCTGAGATGTAATGAGCTCTCCGTCATTTAGGGTATGCCCTTTCTCCTAGACTCACACTGTACAATACTGCAACCACTAGCCACATGTGGCTATTTACATTTGAATCAAGTAAAATGTATAATTCAGTTCCTCGGGTCCACAGCAGCCACAACTCAAGTGGTCAACCAGTAGACTCGTGGGCCTGGCGGCCACCCTACCACACCAGGCAGATGCAGAATATCCCCATCACCTGGCATAGGCATTTCCACTGAGCTGGGCTGTCTTGGACTTGGGAGTCTGTTGAGATCCTGAGGTAGAAGCCAGGGACATAGAAATCTCAACAGCCCTTTTTTTTTTTTTTAGATAGTAAAAGACTTAAAAATGAACAAAGGCTTTTTGGATGGTTATTGACAGAGGAAGAGGTAGGGAGGCAGACCAGAGAATGGAAATAAAATTTATTTGCTCTTTGTTATGCACCAGTCTCTGCTTTTATCAACCGACTCAATCTCCATACAGTGAAGGGAATGTTTGCTCATTCTACAGATGATGAAACTGAGGCCCAGACAAATTAAGTATCTTGCCATTCAGATAGGAATCTGAGCCTTGGGCTTTTGCCATCCCAACAGGTTGCCTTATAGACACCTACAGTGACTGAGGGGCACAGGGGCTGAGGGGGAGTGCCAGGATTGGGTTTGGGGCTAAAGCCAGGAACTGGAGGTTTGGAAGCAATGGGCTCTGTTGGACCCAGCCCCTCTCTCGTCTCTGACCTTCAGGTGACGCCGTACAATCCACAGCAGATGGGACAGCAGATTTTCCGCTCTTCCTATACTCCCCTGCTGAGCTACATTCCCTTCGTCCAGCCCAACTATCCATACCCCCAGAGGACACCTCCGAAGCTGTCCACCAATCCCCGAGACCCTTCCCCCATGGCAGGAGATGGGCCGCAGTACCTCGTCCCCCAGGCATACGGGTGAGTCCTCAACTCACACTGTAAGTCCACCCTGGACCCCGAAGTCTGCCGGGGAGGGCAGGAGAGGGGAGCATGCCAGGTGGGCCTCACTGGTGTGTTCTCTGTGCGTATGTTCCATGGCTGAGGGGAGGGAGGAGACCTGTGCCGGTCGGAGGCTCTGTGTGTCCTGGAGAGACCTGGTATGGAGGTAAGGCTAGCCCAGGGTTTGCTGGACCCCTGTTGTAGGCTCACGATGGGGCTGAGCCCTCACAGTCTGGCTGCAGAAACGTAGGCACACTAGTTGGCCGTGGACAGCAGGTACACTCTCTAGCAGGTGGCAGGTGATGGAGCATGACCCATCTGCCTTTGCCCGTTTGATTGGTTTACAACAGGACACCGCTGAGTAATCTTCTTACAGCTCCCTCCCCTGGCTCTCCTTACTGCACCCTGAGCTCCTTCCCAGGCTAATCTCTCCAACATCCCATTGACTTTGTAACAGGCCCTGTGGAAGGGGCTTCCTGGGCTTATCACGGCTGCTCATGCTTTCCCACCAAAGGGCCCCAAACAGCAGAGGATAGGGACTTCGCAGCAAGCAGCCAACACAAACTCAGCATTTTAGCTGAAAATTCCACACAAATTTTACATGCTGGTCAGCCATAAATTAATGTTCCTTGTCTCGATAGAAAAGCACACGGTCGCTCATTCCCACCCACCCAATCTTGTATTCATACTCCGAGAGGCAGCCCACGTCCCTCCTGAAGACCTGAGCCTCACACACCCTGGGGAAGCTGTGCCCTAGTTTGAGGAACTGAGCTGATAGAGTGAGGGGCAAATTCCCCAGCCTGACATGGATTCCCTTCCTGTCCACCTCCCCGTCACAGACCCTCAGTGTGATGTCACCTAGGTCTCCCCAAACTCTCATCTTTTCAGTGTTTCCCCTGAATGCCTTGTAAGAGGATTACATGTTAGAAAAAGGTTTCCAGAGTCAGACCTGTTTGGGCAAAGCTGTGAGAAACAAAGATAAACACGTTTCTTAACCATTGGAATTCTCAGACTATTTCATTTCTCAAGGTTCATAGACAACATTCACGGGGGTGGTCGATAGTGTTATTTGAACATGAAATCCATGACCCCTTTTCTTTCCTTTTTATCTTTTTTTCCTTTTCTTCCCTCCCCATCCTTCCTTCTTTCTTTTCTCCTTCCCCCTCTTTTCTTCCCTTTTCCTGTAGTTTATCAGGGTGCATTTCATCCAACCCCCCCCCGGAAAGCTCTGTGTTAGTTCATGTGGTTAATATGAATGTAGCCTGTGGGGACCCACAGATGCCTAGGACACAGTCCTTCCCTTCAGAGACTGAGAGGGGATGAGATGTGGGCACAACCTTGTTCTGGGAGAAAGAATAGAGACGACAGAGAGCCTGGCTCCCAGGATCTCCCCCAGTCACCCCATCCCACAAACAGTAATATGTCCCCATACCCCTAGCTCCAGAGCGAGCATGGCCCAAGGACAGAGGGAGCACCCCTGCTGGGTGGTGTGCAGGGGCTCTGCAGGGCGGGGAGGTTTCAGGGAGCAGTGGCTGGAGGAGGGTCCATCCCTTAGATGGGAAAGTGTGCAGCACGCTTAAGGCCTGGGGAACAAAGGCATCTCCTTGAAGTATTTGATTTATCCCCAGAAAAGGTGGAGAATAGGATTAGAAAGGGAGGTTGGGCTTGGATATTAAGGACTGACTGGTAGGCCTGGGATCCCATGCAGATGGGCGCAGCCTGGAGTGCACAGATGGGCTGGAGGGGAGGAAATAGGAGGCAAGACAGGGTGCAGCCTGGAGGGGACTGGAGGGTCTATAGCAGAAGTTCTCGCCTCCCTTGGGAGTGCGACTATACAAGACAGCAGTGGAATCAAGACCTGTCCCCAACAAGTCCCATTCCACACCATGACACCGGGCCTGAGGGAGGCGAGACTGCAGAAGCCAGAACTGTTTGTGCCGGGGGGGTGTGTGGCCACAAGTCTCATCAGTCAGCAGGTGCGAAGTATTGTTGGGGAGCTGAAGAGCGGGGGTCCACACCTGTCTCTGGCTGCCTGCAGAGGGGCAGGGAGAGGAAAAGTGTGGCAAGGGGCTGAGAAAGGAGCTGTCTGGGGAGTGGGAGAGAGCCTGGGGTCTACCCGAGACAAAGGGGGCACAGGAGGTCAGTGACATGGGGGAGGAGTGGTCAGCAGGGTGGGCTTGTGGCCCAAGAGGTTGAGAAGGTCAGGAAATCAGAAAAGTGAGGCAAAGGCGTTGCAGGCCCATGTCCCCCCAAAGGATTATTTGTTCTAGGCAGCGTTTGCTGAAGGGAAGGAACAAGGCAAAGAACTTCCTTCTCTCATTCCAGGGAAAGAAATACACAGTAAGGAAATAAACCACACACATGTCAGGTGTGGGGAGTATGGGAGTGAGAGAATGAAGGGATGTCTCCTGAGCTGAGATCTGAATGAAATGAGATGACAGATTTGGGTGAGGGGCACTCTGGGCAGTGTCCCCGAGGTGGGGAATGTAGCCAGACCACGGTGAGTAGGAGAGGGAGTGGGTGGAATTGAAATCAGAGAGGAAGCAGGGCCAAACTAGATAGGACCTGGTGGGCATGGTGAGGAGTTTTCTTTTAAGCACAGTGGGGAGCTATTATAGCTTTTACACTGCTGAGGGCATGTTCTAATTCTCTGTCTAAAGAAGGTGACGTTGGCCAATGTACAGAGCCTGGACCACAGGGCAAGAGCTGATGCAGGGACGCAGGATAGGAGCCCTGACAGCTATGGGATAAAGAAGTGCTGGTGGGGGGCCCCCGGGGGACACAGTCAGCAGAGCGTCCAACTCTTGGTTTCAGCTCAGGTCTCAGGTCCTGATCTCAGGGTGGTGGGATTGAGCCCTGTGTAGAGTCCTGCGTTAGGCTCCCTGTTTGGTGCAGAGTCTGCTTGTCCCTCTCCCTCCCCCTTTGCCCCTCTCCTTCTGCTCCTCCCCCTACTTCTCCCTAAAATAAACAAGTAAATAAATCTTAAAGAGGTGCTGGCGGAGACTGTGGGAAGGAGATAAGTGAAAAAATCTGGAGTATTTATTTTCTTGGTCAAACTGACAGGACTTGATGGTGGGAAAGGGAGAAAAGTCAGGCATGGTTCTTCAATGTTTTATTTGAACAAGTGGCAATGCCAAATACTAAGGTCAAGAGCACCTAGGGACTCAGTTGGTTAAGAGTCTGCCTTCAGCTTGGTCATGATCCTGGAGTCCAGGTTTGAGCCCCGAGTCGGGCTCCCTGCTTGGCACGGAGTCTGCTTCCCCCTCTGCCTCTAATCCCACTTGTGCTCGCTCCTGCTCACTCTCTCGCTCGCTCTCTCAAATAAATAAATAAAATCTTTAAAATAAAAAAAATAAACAAAATACTAAGGTCAAGATGACTAGCGGAGGGTCTGTTGATGGGGTTTGGTTTTGGATATGCAAAGTTGGAGATGCCCATTAAACATGTGAGTGGGGTTGCTGCTAGGCAGGTGGATATGTGAGTCTGGGGCTCAGAGGAGAGGCTGGGGCTGGCAATGTACATTTGGGAGTCATTAGCATATAGATGATATTTAAAGGCACGGGATGGAATGAGATAGCCCAGGGAGCATGTGTGCATGGAGAACAGATGAGGACCCAAGACTGAGCCCTGGGGCTCCTACATGTAGGGAGCTTGGAGAAATATGGAGGACCCAGCAGAAGATCCAAGAGGGAGTGTTAGGTGAGAGAAGAAATAGGCGAGTGTGGGGAGGGCTCATAGAGCGATGTGGGCACCGCTGGCTGGGACCCAGTGAGTATGGAGTATGGCAGTGGTGTCCAGGGTTCCCAGTTCTGTGGGTGGAACAGGTCTAGCAGAGGCTGCACTGGGGAGGAAGCATGCAAGGGCACTGAGGGTGAGTGTAGCCTTGGAGACAAGCAGGATCAGGAGCAAAGAGCAAAACAAGAAACTAAACTATACGAAGAGGGAGAGGAAGGAGCCTGTGGCTCTGAGGGAAGGAGGTCCCAAACCCTCCCCTCCCTCTGCCAAATCAATTGCATATATTCATGGAGCAGGATAATCATATGCAGTTTATCTTCCAAACAATGACAAGTTTGAGAGTGGAAAGGAGCACAAATAATAATCACCCCATAAATGCCAATGTAGAAACTGTTGCAGGCCAACCAGGCCAGTTCACCATGCTCAAGTGAGTTCCAGCTTTTCTTCTTCCTCCAGGAAGCATTCCTTGATAACTCTAGTCCATGGAGTTGCCTCTCCTCCTGGCCCTCTAGTGGACATCCTGTCTAGACCATGCCCTTGGCAGGTGAACCAGTCAGGAATTCCCAACCTGAATGGCCTAGATGCGTGGGGCAGGGCAATCAGATATGAGGTGTGTCCTGAGTAATTTGTTACCAAAAATTATTAAATGCTGAAGTATGGGTTCCAGTTTTTATTTTGTAAATCAGACCCGAATCCAGGGTATCCCTGTATTAGCATGACTTTCAATCAGTTCTTTTCCGATATGAGTTCCAGAAGAGGGAAGAAGAGATGGGATTACAGCCAGGATACTTGTTTACAAGGCACCTGCCTTGTGCCAGGTCCTGAGCTGGGCCCTGGGCATAAAGCGGCAAACAGTCCAGATAATGTCCCTGCTCTCCTGGAATTTATTTAATGAGAAGGGAATCAAATCAACCCAAAGCCTAGCTTGCCCATGACACTTACAGTGAGCGACGGATACCATAGCGGCTGAGGCATTACAAATTAATGCCGTGGTTTCCCTCCCTCATCCCCTCCCTTTTTTTGTTTCATTAATTCATGGGAGGGTGTGGTGAACATGAACATCTTTTGTAATATGCATCTGCCCAGCTGAAAAGGGGCCGAGAATCCCTGGATTAGAGTAAATCTAGCCATTTGCCCTGTTGCGATTTGTGCTGAGCTCTGTTCCCATTCATTCAAAACATCCTAGCAGATGGGTGAAGAAATTGCTGTAGGATCCCAGAAGTGTGAGTAAATGATTCCATCTGGAGAGGTCAGGGAAGAGGTCACAGAGGAGATGGCTTTTGAACTCTCTTTTGAAGTATGAACAGCAGTGGTGCCAGGGGTAAAAAGCAGAAGGGTACACATTTCTATGCTTAGAAGGTGAGGCTCAAATGCTCTCAGCTTTTCCTTCTTTGAGGATCTAAGCAAAGTTCCAGGCATGCAGTGATGTCTCAATGCTTATTCCTCGCACTGGTATTTAAATGGGGAACCTGACTTAGCTGATAAGGGGAGAGGGAGCCCTAGAATTGTCTAGACTCTGGGATCTCACACTGGGACATGGCCCTGGGTTCTGTGATGTTGTGGAATTCCTGAAGGACATACCTGGCCTTCCCAAGCAGGTAGAATGGCTTTAGGCCCATAGGTAAGGGGCTCAGATCCAGAGAGGCTCCCTGCTGTGTGGTCCTGGAGATGGAGAAAACACTGGGCCCGTAGAGGCAGTCCCTACAGGCTGCCAAGGGCTCCTTTTCCTAAGGAAGTGACAGAAGAAGCTCTTTATTGTCCTCCAATTGTATCATTTTAATATTTTATTTTTCTAGAGCCAAATCTTTTTTTATTATGCTAAAGCATTTAGCCTCCACGCCTGTCATGATCTTTCTAGTCCGTGACAGCCACAAAATTAACATAGTACTTTCCCTAATATCTCTGCTAACATCAGGAGTTCCATCACAACGTCTGTCTTCTTTCTCTTCCAGGTTTGGCTCGACGGCTGGCGGGCCCGTGATGAACAGCCCATATTTTTCCTCCAGTGGGAATGGCATAAATTTTTAGATGATCTTCTCCCTCCTCCTACCTTAGCCCTTGGGTGAGGGCTAAGTGCTCTGGAACTCTGGATTCTGTAATAACGTGGCCTAAGGTTTGGAAAGCCAAGGTTCCAACCAGGTCACAGACAGAAAACAGCAAGACCAGAGTCAACTATTGACCAACTCTCTCACACACACAGGCCCTCTCACACACACCACATGCTGCGCACCTCACACGCACCTCCCTCATAGACATACTCACCTGCTCGACCACATATGCACCTGTAGTTAGCTGACATGAGTGATTTTTGTTTTTGTTGTTGTTGGTAAAGTAGAAGTAAGACACTTAATTTTAGAAAGTTTGTATTTTATGATAAAAGTGTGAGCTGCTTGAAATGGAGTGTGCCTGCTTATTTTTGTCATGGTCTGTGTCATCTTCACTGCTCATTTCTCCCATGCATGAGACACAGCATTGTGTCTCATGTTGACGGGAGACAACAGGCTGGAGTCCTCAAGCAGTGCTGCATAAATACAGGACCCTAGGGGTCATAAATGTAAGGGCTAACCTCTTCTCTTTTGTGACCTGCTCACTTCTCAGCATCCCAGTTCCTGTATCACAGGAGTGGACATAAAAGGAAAGCACCCTCCTTAGGGGGCTGCTTTATAGGGAAAAAATCTCTCTTGGACACAAGTTGGGAAAATGTGACCTGGGAATCAATTCCAAAAACAATCTGGAATGGGGTAGACTATATCCAAAGATTGTATATCAATGCCAAGCTCCAGGCCAATCTCAAAACTGTGAGTGATAGCACTGCCCTTGGATCTATCTCAACCAACTTTTATCAGTGACTTGAATAAGGCTGTTGAAAGCATCCTGACCACATGTGTGGAGGACACAAATCTGGGGGGAGGAGATGGCCTCAACTGGTAATAGCATGTGGTAAGCTCTCTTACACCCATGGCAGGCGTCACTAAGCTGTGGTTCCCTGAGCCTGTACAAAGCCATAGAACTGTTCTCTCCATGGTGGTCCAGGCAGCCATCACTGATCAGGGATGGTCTGTGACATGAAACCCATGTGTCAGCCTTTGACAGATTCTAACAAGATGAAACTAAACAGCAAGTTAATGTAAGACCTACTCTTGGGTCAAAAAAATAAGTTATGCACATAAAAGATGGACTAACACTATCAGTTCTAAGTTGCTCTATTACCAATCCTATTAGTTATCTGAAAGCTCAACCCCGCCCTGACTAGTCCAGTCCTGATACCAATGACAGCCTGGAGTCTAGAAATCACTGATGTCTCAGGACCAGCTTTAGTCCTGTGCCCACAGGAGCATTTCTCCTGCCCTCACAGTATGACACCATTGGCCTCACTGACCTTCCTTCTGGGAACCTGGAAATCAATTTCTCCTCTAAATTCTCTTAGGACTTAGGCCCTCTCTCTTTCTCCGTGGTCCAAGTCAGGGATTCTCCCCAAGTTCTTTAGCCCCTGCTCCCAAGGCTGTACCCAATTTCTAGTATATTTTATTTATTTTTGATTTCCTTGGCCAAGAGTCTAGATTCTCCATGGTCTCTGAGAGAGACATTAATCACCTAGGAATTCTGACAAATTCAAGAGCCCTTTTCTTTCCTGAAAGCCTTCCTCATATTGTCTCTCCAGGTATTAACCACAGGCTGGACCACAGTTTACTACCCTCTCTTGATCTCAGACTGTTTGGAGGCAGGAGGGAGTAAGAGAAAAAGCATTAACTTGCCCTTGGCCAGACCTGGGTTCTAAGCCACTTTCTAATGTTGACCTTGAGCAGAGAATTCAATCTCGCTAAGCCTCAGCTTTATTAATGACAATGTTAATAGTTGTGGGGATTAAAAGATAATGTAGACTTAATAAAGATTTAATGTCTACTTAATTCAGACTTGTGGTTTTATAATGGTGAAGATGTTTCTGTCTCTCTTCTCTTGAAATTGCCCCCCAAATAGGAAAGAGAGCAAAAAAACCTATACAAACTCCATTCTCAGTGAAACTAGGAGAAGCCAGCAATCCCATCCCCTATCTACAAAGTTGGAAATGGGATAGGGGAATGGTAAACACCTCAGTGGAGGAAGGGAAGACCGTGTTGAGATGCCTGCTGAAGGAGACAAGAAGCAAACAATTCCTCCTGTAGAGTCCTGAAGGTCTCAGGAGGTGCTGGGTGCTGGACACCATGGAAAGAAGTGGGGCTGGATAGGGATGAAAGTGAGGAGGTGATGTAGGAGGTAGCCTCTATCCCAGCCTCACAAAGCCAGGGGCCATGGACAGTTCTATAGAAGACTGAGGTATTTTCTCCAGGGAAACCTGGGGACCATATGTAAGGATTGTGGAGCTGAGAGTCCAGATGGAAAATAGTTAATAGGAATGGACAATCTCCAACAAGAAAGAAATGAATCAAAACAAAGGTAAAGTGAAACCAAAAAAAGAGAGACCACAATATTCTCAGGGAGATAAGATAGTACATTAAAAAAAAAAGACAATATGCCATATACTTATTTTTAAAACTCAGAACAAGAAAATGCTTTTGAAATTAAAACAGTGATAGTTGATGTTTTTTAGTGAAGAGAGTTAGAAGCTAACATCAGAAAGATCTCATGGAAAAAAGAACTTAAAAAAGACACAAGGATGGATTATAGGAGATAAAACATGGGAAAATGAGAGGATCAGTCCAGGACACCAGATATCTTCCTAACAAGAGTTCTACGCAGAATAACGAAGATAGAGGGGAGGGTGGTACTAACAGAAAGACACAAGAAAATTTCCCAGATAAAATGGTCCAGACTGGCGCTGAGCAAAATGAATAAAAAAGAAATATCCCAAGTCATATCACTGTAAAATTTCAGAATACCAGGGATAAAGGCAGGATTGTAATAATTTCAGAAAAGCCCAATCACATACACATGTGCAAGAATCAGAATGGCATTGGATTCCTCAACAGTAGCATGGTGAACCTAGAAGATCCCAGGACAAAGTTGTCATCACTTTGATTGGAAATGATTTTTGACCTAGAATTTTAAAACTCAGTTTTTATCATACAGGTAGAAAGGAGTTGGTTTTAGACATGCAAAGTCTCAAAAATATTACCTCTTTCCACACTTGTCAATAAATTAAGGTAGGATGTGCTCCACTAAGACAAGTGGGTAAGCCAAAAAAGAGGATCCAGAATCTGGGAAGCAGGTAGCCAATGGAATGTGAGCAGGAGGGAGGCTAAGGAGGCATCCGAGGTGGTGAGAGAGGAAGGTCTCAGCTAAGAACCATGCAGCAGAGCCTGGGAAACCACCGCCACCTGTCCAGACAGCAGCAGGAAGCTGGAGACCTAAGAGAGGAGGTATGTCCATGAGGGGTCTCAGGGGCTGGGGAAAAAGAGAACACCAGATTATCCTGACAAAGTTGACCGTGTGGAACATTATACTGAGAATTGTTTTATAGCGGTTGGGGGGCTGGGGTGGGGAGTCTTAGCTGTAAAGTGAAAAATGAAACAATTTTAACTTGGGAGTGGACAATATTTATGTGGTCATAATAACAAAAAGCTCAATTATAGACTTCACCAAAAATTGTGTTATAACTGTAGTGGAAGGATGGAGGGGAAAAGAGAGGTGTGAATAAAGCTAAAATCCTCACTTAACCATAAGAGGAAGTCCTATGTAATACCTAAAATGGATGATTCCAGAGAGTGGAATTCCCATAATTATCTAGAAATGTGGAGGAAAATCCCAAAATGAAGTCTCAGCCTTGAAACTCCAGGACTTCAGGTTCTCCAAGGCTCCCTCGTGGGGAAGGAACCCCATGGTGCCTTTGTGTTATTCATTCCTCTGTATGACAGGATTTCCATTTGGCACCAACCCCACATCTCCCCCTTCTTCCTTACTAATAGAATATCTCTTTTCAGATTAGCACATGGCCACCCAGAATATGTGACTTCATTCTAGCCAAAGGAGATGTAGGCAAAGTGTTTTGTGTGATTTCTGGAGGTCAAAGCTATAGGATGAAGTGGGTAGGTAGAGCAAGAAGATGGAAGGAGAGAGCCTTTAATAATGGAGGTGCCAGGCCAGGCCTGACGTGAGACATGCCATGTGAGAGGAAAATGCTTATGTGAGAGGAAAATGAACACCTTTTAAAAACCACCATTATTTAGGTTTCTTTCCTACATAGCCAAACCTAATCCTAATTCACATACTCAAAAATGAAGTAACACCATTTCTTCAAAAGGGATTTTTTTTGTCCTACTATTAAGTGTTTTTGAGTTCAGTTAATGTCAACTTTCCACCCATCTACCCACCCATCTATTCCCCATCCATCCATCCATCCATCCATCCATCCAACCATCCATCCATCCATCCATCTATCCATCCATTTACTCAATCACCACTTAGAATTTATTGACTACCTCCCTAGTACATTGGGCATGATCCAGGTGCTGAGATACGTAGTTGGACAATCATATTCTCTGCCATCACAGAGCTAGCTGACTATAAAGAAAGAAAAATTTCCATCAAGAAGGTTTTCCTTGTCACAGTCATACAACCTAGCAGTTCCCAGAAAGAGGAGAAAATTGACTTAGTGTGGTCAGTCTCATACATGAAATGTATTCACCAGTTGTTCCACTTTACAAGGAGAAAAGCAGGCCTAGAGAATGCAAAAGTAGTCGATGTACATTTTAGGGGATTGCATCTTTTTATCAAATGAATGAGACCAAGTTTTCACCATCAAGTTAGGGCCCAGCCCAGACAGGAGACAGAGACACTTCAGTTATATATATATATATTTTTAAGATTTTCTTTATTTATTTGACAGGCAGAGATCACAAGTAGGCAGAGAGGCAGGCAGAAAGAGAGAGGAGAAAGCAGGCTCTCTGCCGAGCAGACAGCCCAATGCGGGGCTCGATCCCAGGACCCTGGGACCATGACCTGAGCCGAAGGCAGAGGCTTTAACCCACTGAGCCACCCAGGTGCCCCGATACTTCAGTTATTTTAATAGAATTTGATGTAAGTAAATAATTATTAACTATTAAAAAACTAAAAAAGAAGAAAAAAAAGATTGAAGGTTAACACAGAAATAGCAACTACAGAAAGCAGAGTGTGGAATTATTAATACTCGGAAGCCCAGAGGAGCAGCCCTGGAGTTGAAATTCAGACATGTGGGTCTGGGGAGCAGGAACTGTTTGGCCAGCATTGGTGTCTGAGTTCAGAGGAAGAGCTCCTTGAGGCAGAAATGCAGACCTCGCAGGGGGAGGCATCAGCTTACTGGTACTGATGTTCTAAGAAGGCACAGCGAGGCTTGTTCTGTAAGTGTTGGGAAAATGGCAACCTAAGTACATGGTTGCTAATGGAAAACATTGTCATTGCTGGGTGAT